AAAAAAAAGAAGATAACCATTAACTCCAGATGGTATTATTGATATTTTGATGATTAAAAATTTTCGGGATATGTGGCATTGCTTTTTTGCCTTATCTCTGAAATAAAGTGGATGAAATTGCGTATAAAATTGACATGAAAGTTTCGATTTTTTTGTAGTGTTAGACAAAGCAGGGCAGGGCAGGGCAGGTTACAGGTTGCCAAAATATCAGCAGGGCAGGGTACGAAAAAAATTCACAGGGCAGGGTAGGTTACAGGTTGCCAAAATCTCAGCAGGGCAGGTTACAGGTTGTCAAAATACCTTAACCTGCAGGCCTCTAATTACGACCTATTATTGCCTGTATACATGCACCAGCAACATTAGTCTCGCAATTTTTGAATGATCTATTAGCACCTATATATTTGAATGTTGCTCGTGAAATAACATTTATTAATGGCATTGATGTGATACGAAAACTGGAAAAATACATTTTGGATGGTCATTTCCAGGCGACAACAAAATTTATTATAATTGACGTGACTGATCTTTATACAATGATACCTCGAGACGGTGCATTACATGCATTGATGCGATTTTTAGAAAAGAATTCACATCATAGAAAAATTGGTACATGATCCATTGATGCTATTATGAGAATGGCTCGTTTAATATTAGATACTAATTGTTTTTCTTATAACAACAAATATTACCAACAAACTCGTGGTGGTGCTATGGGCTCAGCATTTACACAAGTATTGGCTAATATCTATATGTATGAATGGGAGCAAGATTTAATCAAACATCAAGCAATACATAATGGAGTATATGGAAGGTTTCTATAACACTTACCAAATGAAAAAGCTTATCTAGATTAATATATATCTTTTACAGGTACATCGATGATGTATTCATGACAATTAACCAGAGCATAGATTCAATTACAAATAGAACTCGAAAAAGCTGCCCATAAAGATATTAATATTAAAATTCACTATGAAATTGATACATCAGTTCATTTTTTAGATGTTAGTATAAAGAATGAAAATGGTCAATTAAAAACATCTCTTTATTATAAACTAACTACTGAACCTTATATATTGCCATACACATCCGATCATTCACGACATATTCATCGTAATATGCCATATGCTGCTCTACTATGTGCTGCTCGTATTTGTTCTGACGTACAGGACTTCAATACAGAATGTATTCGTATTGATATGTTCCTATTAGTAAATAATTATCCACCAAATTTCATTAAAAAACAAATCTATCGATTCTTCCAACTGAACAATGCCATGCCTATTGTAAACGAATTGAATGATCAAGTTTATCATCGACTACATCAACAATTGTTGTCTCAACCAACACAACGTGAAAAACAGCTACATCTTATGACACAAGATCCAATTTGATCACCAAGAGTATTGCAACAGAAGATATGGGATCCAAACATAATATATCCACGTTATCTCTTCGACAGTTCTAGGTCGACCAACTTCCGAACAAAATTTAACAAATGCTGGCGAACATATTATGCACATGACGCATCAACTGTGAAAAATGTTAAAGTTCGACTAGTAACAAGTACAAATTCGACACTAGAAACATTCTTTATCCACAAGCAACCTTCAAAAGCAATGCTGACACGTATAGAAAAAAGACAAACACCCACCAATCTCGACAAACCGATCACTACAACAAATAATACCGAAAACAAACATTTTTCTTTCTGAAAAAGTAATCACATTGTATCTCTTTCTTCAGAGTACTCAAAATAAATATTACTCTACTGCAACTTCTATACTTTATCTAAATCAAAAACCATTGTCTCAAAAAAAATCACAAAAGTATTACAAAGTTAACATTTCTTTCTACCAGATAAACCTCACTTCATAAAAAAATATAAACCGACAAGTCTACACCACACGTCTCTTCAATTACTGACAACCACACACAAACACCAACCATCCAAAAGAACGTCCATGTCCCAGCACAAATGGTCACGCCGATACGCGAACTGAATTGATGGCTGCAAGTCGGGTTGCAGCCCGTGTTGTATATGTCCGATCGGTATTACATCGGACGTTGGCAATGAAGGTGGTGTCGAGCTCAACCGAAAGAGTCCAGTTGTTTGCTGCTCGACGCTTATCCACCTTCTTGCCAACCTTCCAAGTCTTACCGACTCGACCTTTGACAACCCGGCTGGTAGCAGCCTGGTTGACAGCACCTTGGTTAAAAGCAGCCTGGTTGACAG